AAAACGCTTTTGGGCTCTGTAAGGAATATTAGTAGTCTCGCGTTTTCACTACGATTGCATGTCTTTTTAAATTACACGTCATAGTTCCACCATAATACCCTGTATCACTAGGGCGGAAGTGGTGTAGTGACAAGTGGCGCGCTTACCACGCGAGCGGTCCGGGGATCAAATCCTGGGTCGTGAGTCGCCCGGGCCAACCAAGCCTTCCATCCCTCCGGGGTCGGTTAATTGGTACCAGACTTGTCTGGGAGGATAAAAACACTGACTTGTACATCGGCTGGCCCCCGCAAGTCATTGTATAGGCCACATCGCATTCAAACGCCACTACGAATGTACAAATGGAAGTAGAATGCGTGCCGCATCCCAAAAAGGGATTGATCAACGGCAAATGCTTTATCCTTTTCCTTTTATCCTATATCACTTTCACATCAACCCCGTCGTCGGACGCTTGTGATGCTCGTGATTTGGCCCAACCCAAGAAATCCACAGATGCGGGGTGAAGCTCACAAATCGCGCTCGTTCCACGCGGCTAGAAAGTGAAAAAATGCGCATCGTCATGAATATGATGATCGTACCACCTGCCTTTGCGGTTAAATATATCCAACACTTCATCGAGGGATTTGAACGCTTTAGAATGAAAAGATGTAAGAATCCGCATCTACGCTATTCTCCCCCTGCTTGTCTTTGCATTTGTAGTTGGGCAAACTCTTCCATCATCATCTGTTGATAAGCGTACAAGTCGTAATATGGACTTTTCCCATAGAAATCCATATTGGGCGAGATGAGCTTTTCTATGTCATAGTCAGACATCCCTTCATCTTGAGGAATCGAATTGAAGAGCTCCTGTCCTTTGGTTCGCAGCCAAAGTGTAGCTGTGATCTTTTCGCCTTCTTCGACTGGACATTCTGCATGCACTGATCCCGGCGACTAGAAAGGCAATTGATCAAGAATCCAGGAACAAACTGAAAATTTGCCATAACGGCCATGGTGATAAAAATTTCAACTCACCGGAGCCATGTCCTTTTTTATGTTTGTGAACAGTATCGCATCTCCAGGTTCGGTTGTCACCGTGTGATTGAGTAAAAGAAAAGTAGTTGCTAAATGGGAGCTGTTACATCTTAGAACAACAAAATATTGGAATTTCAGCTGTTTTACATATTGATGACTGAGGGCTATCGAACACATGAGAACCAAATATTAGGAATGGAGTCTCTAGACAATACTATCGTTCATGACGCCACTATTTAAACACTGTATTTTCTCTCGTTCCAAAACCAAACTTGGGCATCGTTGTGAAGCTCTTTCTACCTGCTAGGTCCTTCTTGTTCTAAAGCACTGTTTCGCAAATTGGTGAAAATGTGGTTTGGGAGGGCCACTCTATTTAATCGAAGTAGAGTAGCGGAAGGCACTTATATATTTCGTAATCAAGTATGAGTTGACAGGAAGGCGCTTATATCATTAATCAATATCTTCTCAATGAGTAGCGATCAAATGAATCTTTTGTCAAGTTGCTATACGAAGTTATTACGTATGGCAAAAACGGCTATCACCTTGCTGACTCTTTACCTTCACCAACCCTTCTTGCGATTGCCATGCAAGCCCTTGGCGGAAGGGCCTTCCAGGTATCCGATTTTGTACGGAATCCCGGGTTGGTATCAATATCCTAATCTTGTAGTCAAGACGCCTATGCTCTTAAAGTGATTAGAGATGACAGCCACTATCCGCAACTCCCACTCCAGATTTAGATATATGCTCTTTGATATATAATTATGAGCGGCTTAACCCACGAAAACTACATATTTCATCCGCCAAATTTCTTCAGCTTTGAAATGCTGGCATAGTCAAACATGAGCAGAGTTTACATGATTTCTACAAAAATAGCCTGGAAAGCAGGGTCACGTGCGTTCGCGCTATTAGAACGAAGGGAGTGGTTTTGGGAAGGGTGGGGGGTCGCATTCTATTTGTTGAATGAATGGCAATGGTGAGGTGACTTAGATTGGTTATATGGGAGGGGAGGAATTTCGCCGTTCCACTGTCATTGTACTGACATACCCCCCCCCCTTCCCACTTGACGGTCGTCTCAGAATTAAACACTACAGAAACAGCGGGTGGGCGGGGTAGGAGAAGGATGGTCCGTATTAGGTATTATGAGCTCATTCGGTGGTTGATGGAGGGTACGCAGTGCAGATCCCCTAGGAGGGCAGATCGCGAACATTCATTTTGAAAAGCTGCAAACGCTAAACGTTGACTCTTAGTGGAACACGTTTGCGATGGTAACGGCGATTAGAGACTACCGTCCAAAAAACTCATATAACGAAAGCGAAACACCTTAGCATAATAGGCTACTAGTCTTAATATCGGACGCTGCAAACGACTCACCAGAAAGTTCCTATGTTCTGGCTTGGGTCCACAAGAATATGAGAAATTTTCCACCAAACTGGTGTAAACGATTCGTTAAGTTTCGGATACACGCAAGTTAGCGAAGTAGCAAAAAAATGTGATAAGTGAGTGCAATCGACAATCACAAATTCAAAGATCTCTCTCCAATTCTTAGCTCGTCTTTGTGCAGATCCTTGCACTCTCTTTTCTTACTGGGGAATCAAACGATGTAGAGCCGAGACTCTTCCTACGCAGCGGTCGAAACTTTGCGAATGCATTCGACACGGGAATGTTTCCCAGCAGTTCCCATCGCACGGCGAAGGAAGACACGCAGACGCGGCAAATTACGAATGCACCGCATACTGTAGTGGTTGAAAGTCAGATTACATGGGAGACGTGCGTTTTTGCTCCTGGGGTCGCCACCGCGCCGTCGCACGCGGCGATTGATGCCAGGCGAAGGCTGTGTGGCTGGCCTGTAGGCGGCAGTGCGACGTCGCTCGAACATACCGCCGAGCATTTCTCCAAGTTCGGACTGTCGATAGCATAGACTGACTTATCCGTATACACCACTACCTAGTTTTACTAAAGACCGAAGATAGGTTTGAATCAATTTGAAGGATAATGAGAATCCGATTCGTATAAAAGAGGTATGAGGTTCCATACAATCACCAATCAGGCAAAATAGAGGACTGTATTTAGGCGGTGCGAATAATGGTTTATAGCTACTGATTCCACTCTTTGCCTGGTGGAAGTGGGAGTTCGCGGAAATGTTATCGAGTGCGTTTACACCGAACTAGAGCAACTTAAGGCGATGTATGGGACCCTTGCTTTTTAATTAATGGTGACCCACTCTCGACACCATCAGCATCAATGACGTTGAAAGAAGAATAAAACATAGCATGTAATGGCATATGCTTACCATGACGCCCATACTACAGGATGCCCCGCAGTTTACGCACTCGACACGCTGAAAATACCTTTGGAAATGATAATCGAAGAGTGCTGCTGCTGGAGAGGAGCACAGACCGTGGCGAAGCTCAGAAAGGATTGGCTAAGCTCAGTGCGCTGCAACTAGCTCATCTCAGACCGCGAAAAAGCCACATATCGCTTCCTTAGGCCCCTGACTACTGGTGTATGTGCTTCTGTGCTGAGCACAAACTTTATCATTTCTCGCTTTAATCACCCATCTTTGCCTAATTTATTCTATAGATAACGCGAATGTCTAGCTATGAACGAAGTTTCTTGAGAAAGTGGTCAAACAGTGGGGAGTAAACTTATTTAATTTTTTTCCAATTTTTTCGATGGTGCTCATGAAATTGCACGTGTTATGTACCTGCGATTAAAAGAACAAAACACCCGCTGTTGCCTGGTGTGAATGTTTTGACCATCCTCGTTACAAGTACATATGGTCATAAAATTCTCACAGTTACCTCCTCCAAGTGTGGGAGACTTCAAAGTGAGAGCAAATGTCACAAAGCGATTCCCGAATTCCCGTGTTCTTTCGCTATACTGATCCGGTGAAGAATAGGTGATATAGTCATAGTGCGGACCATGATGACCTCCTTTTTTATAGTGAAGCACCTTCAAGAAAATGTAGTGGTCGGTCTTTATCTACCACTCTGAAAGCATCTTATTCGAACAGACTCACTTCCCATGGTTCACTTATGCTGAAATTGAGCATCGGTATGAGAGTCTGTACGCGACGAAATACTTTAGAAACTCCTTTCATGCTGCGATGTGGGATAGTAGTAGAAATTGCTTTCCGTTTTGTATACGTTTTTACGTAATTTTTCATGAATCCATAATCATCAATGTGCTTCTGAAAAGAGATCACCAAGATTTTGCAAGACAATAATGGAAATTGTCCAACTAAAAGCGGATACGACGGAAACACCGTTGCCGGCTGAAGCTGAAAGTAGAAGTGGTAGAGTGTGCACTGGTTGAAAAATATCCGAATCCAACAAAAGATTTGAGAGAAACACCAATCTTTTCCGGACGTTTCAAAACGTGATAGATCAGTTTGCTCCCTGGCTAGTACCAACCATACACCTTCACAAATATACAATGATCGCCAGACATTGTACCAGATCTTACTCATTGCACCGTCCCGCCCTATCTCGCTTTTTGTTCTTTTGCTGTTTCTGTTCTAATTGTGAGGTCCGCTGCTGCGATGACAATTCAATACATACTCTCCCTTTCAGAAAACGGGAAGAGCATCGGGTGCAGACCATACATCACAAGTGACGACGGCCTCCAAGTATGGCTAGTAGTGGCTCATAGTGATAGCCGATTTGTGGTAAATGAAAGGGGTTATACAAAGTGGGGGTGGGGGCACGCTCAGCTTTTCACGCATGTCAAGTGGCTGCCCTCACCCAAACCCCCTAGATTGGCTAACACTCCCCCTGGCTCACGAATTCCCCGATTCTCGTGGCAATATAGTAGCTGGCAGCAGTCCTATACAGACATTTCTGTTCAAAAAATGCGACGTGCCCACCCTACTTGTATAGCATTAATGAAAAAGTGTGCCACTGTAGAATACAACTTGCACAGGCTATTATAAATTGATAGAACATTCACATTTTTGAAGCCGTCGTCGATGTGGCGCATAGTCTGCATCTCGTTATTTGGAAGGGAGGGTAAATGTCTGGCACATCATGGCTTAAGCATATTGACAGGGTGGCCCGAGTACGCGTAAATTATAGTGCTTCTGGCTGTATCCGTTAGCAATGGCGACGGACTTGACGCGCTGAAGCGTGGCCGCCTCCTACATACAGTTGTTATTTGGCTTTCCCAACGAAGAAAGAATGCGTCGAGCAAACTCGCCAGCTATACTGAGCGCCATTCATATGAGACGCTCCTCCATTTTTGGATTGCTGCTTTGGAGAGGCTAGTCTCATTGTTTGTGAAGCCTGTAGGATAGTTACTCCAGAAAGCGCGTCGATGCATTGCGCTTGTAGCGTGACTACAGCAGAACTCTTATAATTCACGCTTACTCGGTGCTCGCTCTGTCCAAATGGTTAAGTGCGTGCTCACCGTGTCTAAAAGGCTTAAGTCGTAAATCCTGGCGCATCAACTGTGACTCGGTACACATTGTCATAATAAAAAGCATTAATGTCATCTCACCTTTTTGTTGATCTTCTGCTGCTGTTTAACATCAAGAAGAAAGCCGTCCAGCAGTTTCTGTGGTATTAATCTCCTATATACGATAATAATGGGATGTAGCGCCACAGGATCAATGTAAACAGGTTCGTAGTTACGGTAGTACATATAACACATGTAATCTGCAAAAAAAATACAGTTTTCTCAATATTCTCGCTACCAAAGGAACTTTCACTCGTTATCGGCTAAGTTCCATTTTCTCACGCGCATCCCCTACATGTGCTTTTTGAGAAAGGATATCGCACTCTACTGCGATGTTATGCGAGCACGTGCGAAAAAGGAAATCCCATTGACCTTTGGCCCCGCGAACCCTCTAGGCGCCAAATACGTGCGATGGCGAATAATCCATTGAACTTTGGTCCAGTGGGGGCCCGCTGACCACCCATTTTGGCGCCAAAAAGGCACAATGAACTTTGACCCCTGGGGTATAAAAGACCCCGATGTCTAGGTTGAACTAACTTCGCTGTTGAATTTCTATTCTTTCTAATTGCCAGTTATTTACTGATGTTAATCTAACCTAGCGCAAGACTAATACAGTTTTTGTTCGGTTCGAATAAATATTGTAACACAGTATCTATTTCGAATTATTCGAAACAATTTCAAAGGGAAATGTAGGGGATTTTTTGAGTCATACGTCAGCTTGTGACCGAGTTTCGCACGCGCAAACATGTTTACGCTATCCTCAGAGGAAGCGCAGATGCGAGTGTGGTCTTCAGAGTATTTTTCAAAAATAGATATCACAGATGGCAGCGGAAGGGTGAGGGATTGATCCATGAAACGTTCGGACCACCATGATCACCGTAGAGCTGAACTGAACGTCGAACTAAGGCATGCACTCGATGCACTGTCTTAGGTTATGTGCAGAAAACCGAAAATCTCGAGTGCTGAGTATTGAATCTGGCCTAACCATAGGATCAAACCACGAAGAACCCGCTCTGAACCGTGTACTGCAACAAGG